CAGCCTGATGAACCAAACTACTCAGTAATCTCCTCCATGAAGACTGGGGGTCAGCCTGATGAACCAAACTACTCAGTAATCTCCTCCATGGAGACTGGGGGTCAGCCTGATGAACCAAACTACTCAGTAATCTCCTCCATGGAGACTGGGGGTCAGCCTGATGAACCAAACTACTCAGTAATCTCCTCCATGGAGACTGGGGGTCAGCCTGATGAACCAAACTACTCAGTAATCTCCTCCATATAGCCTAACTCTTACACACTCACATGCACACCTGCACACACGCATTTAAACAAAACTTTTTTTTTTTTTTGTGATTACTGATCAATTAATTTATCATTAATAATTTTTGTTATCTGTTTTAACAACCTTTTTTAAATTTTTGTACTTATGTATTGTATATCGTTTTTTTAGGGTGTGGTTTTCATATAAGCCCTTGGGCTTCCAACCACACCTGCACACAGTTTTTTTGTTGTTGTTGTTTTTATCTGTATTGTTGTTTATCACTTGTTTTCTTTGGTGCAAATAAATTAAACTAAATTAAACTAAACAGTCTCCTCCATCTCCATTGTTTTCACACACACTGCTTTGATATAAAACGTTCCTATCTTTCACGACATGTCTTGAACTAAACTAAGTTATTTTTGCCTTTTTGAAAATCTTCCGGCCATCATCGTTTAGTTTGTGTGCACAGCTTCATTTGCGATGCGTGAAATTTGATTTAATTGGTCACAGACTAGACAACGATTAGCATTTTTTTCTGTCTCAGAGTCGCAAACTTTCCGTGCCGTCATTATATACTATTATGCACAGCCTACAAAATTGTTCTCTGTAACTAATGGTTTTAATAAGGTAGCGAAATACAATACTTAATTCAGAACATACTTAAGTAAAATTTCTGACTTCGAAAAAAGTACTCGAAAAGCTACTCAATTACAGTAACAAGAGTATTTGTAATTTGTTACTTCCACCCCTGCATACGGGCCCAGATTCAAGGCCTCATAGTCCCAGATGGGAATGTGGCTCTGCAGACATGTGCACAGCCAGTCTAGTCAGACTTTCTCTTCACTTAACTTTAAAGTGGAGACATTTTACATCATCATGATAATGTGGCCAGTGACACTTTGCTTCTTGAAAGTCCAATATCTTGAAAACTTGACTGCTGACATGTAAAACATTTTGGGAATGTATCAACAGTGGACTAATGAAAAAAATACTAAAATATAGTTTTTGAGTGGTGTTCCCCTTTAACACATAACACCCCTTATCCTATTATAGTGCGTCTTGTTCCATGTAATTCCTCTAACTCACGGCTAGCCCTGCACTAAAAAGCAAGGTACATTAAGAATCTCCATTGAAAGTGCTTTTTAGTCCAGGACTAGCCTTAATCTTTGTCTGGGAAACTGCCCCAAAGGGATCATTACTTCTATCTATCTAAAATTCACATTTTACAGCCCTATGGACAGTTATAGGAATCAGGAAAGTAGCCACTGTGTCATACTTTATAATTTATTTTTGATCCCGGTTTAATCCTATAGTTTATGTGACATAACTCCGGCGGATTGTCCTCTGAGAAGTGTTTTAGGGAATATGGAAAGAAAGGCCTGCTGATGGTGGAATTAACATAATTTGCGATACAAAGACATTTTTACCGAAAGCAGATGTACAAACACCATAGCGCCTAATGGGAGGTATAGACTAGTAGAGAGAGACCCTTCTACACAACGTGTGAGTTATTAGGCCATATCCTGTCTGTCGCCTCTTTCTGGCAGACTTGTTTCCTGTCTATATGAAATGTCATCTTCAAAACAAATGACCTTTCAAGACAAATGTGGATTATATGAGTTCTCTATAAATACTTGTTTTCTAATACTGATCAGTTTATAGGCTCATATTCCTATTGGCTTCTCAGTTGCAATTTTTGTTCATCTTTAGTAAAGTGTTTATTTCTTTAATCTCAGGCACTGCAGTTGTTTGATGTGATATAATGAGAAAACATGACAGGATGTTTAGGCCTTTAAGGGAACAAATAGCTAACAACACAATGTTACTGCCATCCCTGGCTGCCTGGTTCATGATAACTCTCTCTTTGTAGCTCAAAGAAAGTACTGGGAATGTATGATTCAGCAGCAGCATCTATTTGAAGTGAAATTACTTTTACGTTCATCCAAGATACTTTCGGTCCAATATACTCACTCAATCTCGCTGTGATACTAATCTCTGTTGATTCATGAGCAATATATCTATATATTGCTCGTGAATCAACAGAGATATATATATATATATATATACATACATTTTCTTTCTTTCTTTCTTTCTTTCTTTCTTTCTTTCTTTCTTTCTTTCTTTCTTTCTTTCTTTCTTTCTTTCTTTCTTTCTTTCTTTCTTTCTTTCTTTCTTTCTTTCTACAGAACAAAACTAATTGCAACATGAAATGGCTTCATTACCATATAGGGATTGGTAAAACCTGTCTCAGACGACTAAAGAAATAGAAGCGAGAAAGCAAAGAATTCTGGGCTTTTGGCTGTCCTTCAGCTCACAGTTTCCTCTCTCACTCTCACCCTCACTCTTTTCCCTCTCTCTCTTCTCTCTTTCCTTCTCCCCTTCTTTCTCTGAACTTTCCCTCTCTCACTCCCACTCTCCTCTCACATCTGGTGGGGATCTGGATCTGAACTGACCAGGGCCGGCCCTGGGAGTGACTGTGTAGTTACTGTGGCTCCTCTCTATCCTGCTATGGGACTGTCTCTGGCTGGACTGGAAACCAGACTGCACTGCCTCTGTCTCTGTCTCTGCTAACCTCCCTCTGTCAGAGAAGGTAAAGAATGCATGTATACTGGAGATCTGCTGTAACATTTGAGTATGTATTTATGCACGCACCGTTGTTACTTTATATGTTAGGCTCTTGTTAGATAATGCTAGGGTGGAATATGATTGTCGGTTCCATAGTCACTCTTTCATGGCCCTTTAACATGTGGACCAGAGCCTTAGATAGATGCTCTGTATATAGATGTAGGATCTTAATTTGATCACCCTGTTGCAGGAAAACTTTCCTGTAATGCAGCAAATTTAAAACATCTAGCATATTTGAGGTTTTAAAAGGTTTCTGAAGTGAAATTGATTTTCCCTAATGAAAAATGTATTAACCCCTATAAAAATGTCCATTAATTATAATCCACATCATAATTCAAATTTCCTGTAGCTGCAGGATTATTTTCCTGCAAACTGGCTCAATGATATGGCTCTCATGTGGACAGATTCTAATGTTCCAAATGATATGGCTCTCATGTGGACAGATTCTAATGTTCCAAATGCATTATGGGCTGACTGTAGGAATTGGTAATGTGCCACCAATCATATAGCATTATAGTAGTGAAGGACTGGACTGTGCATGGAGTGAATGGCAGAGTGCCAACCATTATATTAGTGAATAATAGTAAGCTGTGCAAGTGCACAGCTGTCTAGATGTGTATGAGCTTTTACAGACTATCACGTAAAACTTGTATAAAAAGATTACATAGCTGAGATTTTAATTTTGCAGATTTTGAGTCATTGATTCAATGTTCTTGTGTTTTTGTGAGCGTAAACTAATCCTTTAGGTTGGTGTGAGAATGTGATCAGTCTGATTATGGGTAGCGTAGTGCTTGTGGGATTTAATGGATTCCTGCTATATGTGTTGTGCATTTGTTATTGTCAGAGTGGGTGGTACGTGTGCACATATGTGTGTGGGGGATACAGCACTATACTCAGGGTCACATGTTTTTCTCATCTGACGTGAATATAGACACTTGGCTGGTGTTCAGACACACTGTGATTCTCCTGGGTCTGATACAGCACTATACTCAGGTCACACACACACACACACACACACACACACACACACACACACACACACACACACACACACACACACACACACACACACACACACACACACACACAGAGGTGTGGTAGTAGCGGCTCTCTAGTCCCTCAGCAGGACTGGAAAGACTGGTGCTCTGCACTCTGGTAGATGAATGGTTTTTAAAGGTTAGCCAGGAGAGCTGTTTGGAACATGTCCATCAGCACAAGAGAAGGCAACTACACTGCAGCGCTCTTTCATGACTGACCGTAGGACACTGTACCAAAACACTGATCTCTATGGTAGCCTATTTTCTGCTTCCTGGGAGAACAATAGCAGCACCGCAATGCCTTTATTGTAAAAAAACAACAACATACTTTGTGTATATTTCACTCAACTATATGGAAAATAGTCAACCTGAATTGGACAAGAAATGTGAATAAAAGAGAACATGGATGCTGGGTGCTGTAGGTCAACCCATAAAATCAACACAAGGTATGAGAGAACAGATTTGAAAAATAAGCCAAACAGGAACAGAATGTCTAACATTCCTCAACACAAAAGCAGACGGTTTGTTGTTGTCCTATCAGTCCTTGCAGGTGGTCAGGGGGTGGTCAGCCCTGCTCAGAACTCCAGGGTTGGTTGTTGGGTCAGCGGGGCAGTGGAACTAAGATTGAAGATGTTTTTTATTTTCACAGATAATACACATCCTGTCCTCCTTCGCCTAACCATCGCCGGGAGGCCTGCTGTTCTGACAATGTGAGCAACATGAGCTACCTGCTGTAGTACTCCCTTCTATGTTTTATCATCTCTCCTGTCACAATATCATTTGGCTATGCAGGACCATTCCTCTATTTACTCAGTATGAAAAAAGTATGAAAATGTATGCACTCACATCTGTAAGTTGTTCTGGATAAGAGCGTCTGCTAGATGACTAAAATATAAATGTAAAAATTTATTTTCTGTTGAAAACCTCTATAAACCTAACATTCAAAATGTGATCCTCTTATTAATTGTGATATGTTATCTATGGGCAATGATTACACTATATCTACTTAATATATCCATGCGTTGATTTAATACACTGTTATTACATTGTTTTCCAGACCTATCTGACCGTTGGTGCTACCGGGCAGCTCAGGTAGCTGAGGTAGCAGCAGACATGGCCAGCCCCAGGAGGACATGTCTCCTGCAGGGCCTGAGTGTGATGCTCCTGGCCTGGGCTCTGGTGCACTGCCAAGCCCCTCTGGAGCCCCAGGAGGAGGAGGAGGAGGAGGAGGACGATCCCATGGAGGAGACAGAGACCTTCCTGGTCCCGGCCGTGGCGAAGGTGGAGCTGGTGGTGTGTCCCGGCGAGTGTAGCTGTACAGAGGAGGGAGTGGTGGACTGTGCTGGGGTTGACCTCATGGACTTTCCTAGTGAGCTGTCTGAGAGCACACGCATTCTCTCACTGCAGGTGGGTCACACACACCCAACACCCACATTCTCTTCCTACAGGTGGGTCTCACACATCCATTAGACCGGGGGGGGGGGTTCTAACATACGGCCTGCCAGCCCGATCCAGCCCGCGAGGGGGTCCAATCTGGCCCCTGGGTGGTTTGAGTAAAACAAAACAATTTATTTATATATTTTTTGAATATTTGTTTTGTGGGGTGGGGGGGGTGGGGGGTGGGGGGGGGGGGGGGGGGGGGGGGGGGGGCTGGGAAACAAACTTAATATACTTTAAAATGATTAAAACCAAATTGAAACTGTATAGAAATTGTAATGGATCTTGACTGTGTCCAGCTCATAATCACCGAAAAGAAAGCTAGACAGTCAGGGAGCATCGAAAATTCCAAAAACGATGGATAGAGGACTATTTTTTGAAAATTGTGAAGGCAAGGAAATATAACCAATTTTCAGTGAGACCCTCTGGACTTTGTTGAAGACCGAATGCGGCTCCCGGGGCAAAGTTTGACACCCCTGCATTAGACACATATCAGTCAGTTAGCACTAGTGAATCGGACATTGACAGACACACGCAATACCTGATAGATCTTATTACAGGTGGGTCACACACACCTAAAACCTGATAGATTTTCCTTCATAGGACTGATTTAAGGTTTTAAGAGCATTAGTGAATACTGTCAAAGGCTGTAGTCAATTTAGTCTAAGTCAATCAATAATGATTGCTGTTCTGCCAAATAATATTTGTGTCTCCTCTTTGCCTCCTCTTCGTCTTAGAACAACCGGATAGAAATAGTAACTATTGAGGACCTGGCACGTCTGCAGCAACTGGAGACACTAAACCTGCAAAACAACCGTCTGACCACACAAGGTATAAACTAGACAGAGACTGAGAGAGAGAGAGCAAGGTATAAACTAGACAGAGACTGAGAGAGAGCAAGGTATAAACTAGTCAGACTGAGAGAGAATCAAGAGCAAACAGCAAATTAAGTTTGCCAGGGGAGTAAGAGACAGACAGACAGACAGAAAGACAGTGAGACAGACAGACAGACATATATTTAGTCTGAAAGTAGCCAAGGGAAAAAGAAACAGACAGTCAGACAGACAGACAGACAGACAGACATACATACATTCAGTGGGGGAAAAAAGTATTTAGTCAGCCACCAATTGTGTAAGTTCTCCCACTTAAAAAGATGAGAGAGGCCTGTAATTTTCATCATAGGTACACGTCAACTATGACAGACAAATTGAGGGGAAAAAATCAAGAAAATCACATTGTAGGATTTGTAATGAATTTATTTGCAAATTATGGTGGAAAATAAGTATTTGGTCACCTACAAACATGCAAGATGTCTGGCTCTCACAGACCTGTAACTTCTTCTTTAAGAGGCTCCTCTGTCCTCCTCTCGTTACCTGTATTAATGGCACCTGTTTGAACTTGTTATCAGTATAAAAGACACCTGTCCACAACCTCAAACAGTCACACTCCAAACTCCACTATGGCCAAGACCAAAGAGCTGTCAAAGGACACCAGAAACAAAATTGTAGACCTGCACCAGGCTGGGAAGACTGAATCTGCAATAGGTAAGCAGCTTGGTTTGAAGAAATCAACTGTGGGAGCAATTATTAGGAAATGGAAGACACTGATAATCTCCCTCGATCTGGGGCTCCACGCAAGATCTCACCCCGTGGGGTCAAAATGATCACAAGAACGGTGAGCAAAAATCCCAGAACCACACAGGGGGACCTAGTGAATGACCTGCAGAGAGCTGGGACCAAAGTAACAAAGCCTACCATCAGTAACACACTACGCCGCCAGGGACTCAAATCCTGCAGTGCCAGACGTGTCCCCCTGCTTAAGCCAGTACATGTCCAGGCCCGTCTGAAGTTTGCTAGAGTGCATTTGGATGATCCAGAAGAGGATTGGGAGAATGTCATATGGTCAGATGAAACCAAAATATAACTTTTTGGTAAAAACTCAACTCGTCGTGTTTGGAGGACAAAGAATGCTGAGTTGCATCCAAAGAACACCATACCTACTGTGAAGCATGGGGGTGGAAACATCATGCTTTGGGGCTGTTTTTCTGCAAAGGGACCAGTACGACTGATCCGTGTAAAGGAAAGAATGAATGGGGCCATGTATCGTGAGATTTTGAGTGAAAACCTCCTTCCATCAGCAAGGGCATTGAAGATGAAACGTGGCTGGGTCTTTCAGCATGACAATGATCCCAAACACACCGCCCGGGCAACGAAGGAGTGGCTTCGTAAGAAGCATTTCAAGGTCCTGGAGTGGCCTAGCCAGTCTCCAGATCTCAACCCCATAGAACATCTTTGGAGGGAGTTGAAAGTCTGTGTTGCCCAGCGACAGCCCCAAAACATCACTGCTCTAGAGGAGATCTGCATGGAGGAATGGGCCAAAATACCAGCAACAGTGTGTGAAAACCTTGTGAAGACTTACAGAAAACGTTTGACCTGTGTCATTGCCAGCAAAGGGTATATAACAAAGTATTGAGAAACTTTTGTTATTGACCAAATACTTATTTTCCACAATAATTTGCAAATAAATTCATAAAAAATCCTACAATGTGATTTTCTGGATTTTTTTTCTCATTTTGTCTGTCATAGTTGACGTGTACCTATGATGAAAATTACAGGCCTCTCTCATCTTTTTAAATGGGAGAACTTGCACAATTGGTGGCTGACTAAATACTTTTTTTCCCCACTGTACATACATACATACATACATTTAGTCTGAAAGTAGCCAAGGGAGAAAGAGACAGACAGACGTTAGTCTGACCCTGCAAGATAAACCAGACACAGAGACTAAGAGAGAAAGAATCAAATGAATGACATCAGGGGACAGAGATCTGAAAGTAGCCAGCGGAGATACATTTGTTGACAACAAACTGTGAGAACTCTGTTTGTGTCTGTTATTGTCTTGTTCTTTCTGGCTTTCTCTGTCTGGGTCCATGTCGAATTGCAGCCTCTGGCTATTTTACTGGGAATAGATTGTCGGGTTTAGAGACTGGGCTCCAGTTCTTCTAGATCCAACCCATTTATAATATATGCTTAGCTTGAATTATGATTACCATATGTGCTTCATTTTCTCTTATTTACTGTCCAGCTTTTTTCATTTAACAAAGCAGTCCGATCTTTATCTTCTGTGTTGTATATGCTTTTAGGCATGGATTGAAGGCTGAGTAACATATTCTATTTTTCATGTTCCATTTATTTTGTGTGTGTGTATGTGCATGTGTTTTCAGGCCTTGAAGATGAAGGGTTTACAGTGCTGGAACAGCTGACCTACTTGTACTTGGCCAATAACAAGGTGCGTCATTATAAACACAGTCATAAACACAGACCTTACGCCTTCAGCAAAACCTAATTACTATTCTTCCCTCACTGCTACAGAACTTGAATCTGGGGAATTTGGGCCTATGTAAACATTCTTCAGTTCATTGTCACGGTCACACTTTATTTGGATAGTCCGGATATCCCATCTGTAGATGCTCTACAGATGGTCATACTATCAACATACTATCTGTTGATAAGCAACTGCTTGCTAAGTTTACGGTTAGGGTTAGGTTTAGAATAAGGGTTAGGGTAAGGGTAAAGACTGGGGTTAGGGCTAGGGTTAGGATTAGGATAAGGGTTAAGGTTAGGGTTAGGATTAGTAGATAGTTTAAATATTACTCATAGTCTGTAGATAGTCTTTAGAGCATCTACAGATGGACTATCCAATTAAAGTGTTACCGTTTTCACTTGTGGTAATCATTCATATATAATCAGGACTCCCAGGAGAGAGTAGCACACAGTATAGTGTGCTGTGCTCATTAAAAGTGCTGCTAGGGTCACCATGGAGCTCTCTGAAACCATCTTCACACCTCTACTTGGTTATACTCCTATTGGAATCATAATAAGAAAAATACAGTTTTAAAAGTTTTATTTTGAACAATCCAAACCAAACTGAGTGAGCTTGGATGGTCTCAAGAGTTGAGACAACCAAAGTCCTGCATCCACAAGAATGCAGCAATACAAATATGTAATGACTCAGGCTAGAGCCTGGTCTCCTTCCAAAGAGTAATTGCTTTCTGAACAAAACCGCAAAATAACCAAATGGCTCAAATAACCCTTCGAAAATGGAATTTGAAACTCATGTTTTTGTTGGTTCTAGAATTAACATTTTCCCATCCCTTCCACACTTGGATCTTCCACTCTGGATCTCTTATTCTTAGTGTGTCAAAGTACAATTCTGTGTGAAATTTATATTCTGTTCTATTATGTTGTGATGATGTATGCTTGCCAGCCGTGCTGCTGTTGCCAGCAGGAAAGGTGGCAGACAGTCACCAGGCGATATCCATTCTCTTCTCACACGGTGTGTGCCAGCTTATGGTTGTAATCACTTCCAGTGTTTCCATGCCAGCTGGTCAGATCTAAAATGTCGCTGGCATACAGTATTTTTTGACTGAGCGAGAGAGGGGGGGGGGGGGGGGGGGGGTGGGGGGGGGGGGGGGGGGGGGGGGGGGGGGGGGGGGGGGGTGTTTTTTTTTTTTACTTGTAGCGGTGAGGTGGGGGGGGGTGGGGGGGGTTTTTTTTTTTGGGGGGGGTTTTTTTTTTGTTGTTTTTGTTTTTTTTTTTTTTTTTTTTTTGTGTTTTTTTTTTTTCTTCTGGGGTTTTTTCCTTCCCTTTTAAATTGGGGAAAAACCCCCCCGCTTCGTGCTTTTTGGGTTTTGCCCCTTGCTTTTTCCTTTTTTTTTTTTTTCCCGCCCAAAAAGAAAAACGTTTTTTTTTCCCCCCCCTTTTTTTCCACTCCCCCCCTTTCCAAAACCCTTTTTTTTTTTCTTTTAAAAAAAAAAACCGTAATTTTAAAACCCAAAAAAATTTTCCTCTGAATTTTTTTTACTCCCCGTTTCTTTTTTTTTAAAACCCCCCCTTTAAATTAAAAGGGCTTTCAAAGTTTTCCCCCCTTATTTTTTAATTTTTTTTTTCAAATTTTTTTAAAAGGTTTTTTTGTAAAATTTTTTTTCCCCCTTTTTTTTTTTTTTTTTTTTTTTTTTTAAAAAATAAAAAAGCCCTTTTAAAAACCCCGGGTGGCAGATTATAAAGCCATGTAACACTTAGTTAAGCTTGCTACTACTGTAGCAGTTTCTCCTATTTCTGTATACTCTCTCTGTTACTACGTTTGTAATAGTTTATATAATATTCAGAGGAGTGACTGAAAGGAGTTTTACATATACCCTGTTTAAGATGAGGGAAGAGCAAGGCCTGCCATAGACATACAGTGCATTCAGAAAGGATTCAGACACCTTGACTTTTTCCACATTTTGTTACGTTACAGCCTTATTCTAAAATTGATTAAATCGTTTTTTCCCCCCTCATCAATCTACACACAATACCCCATAATGACAAAGCAAAAACAGGTTTTTATAAATGTTTGCACATTTATAAAAAACAACAACAACTGAAATATCACATTTGTGGAAAGCAGACTAAACAAGGTTTTCCTCTAGGATTTTGCCTGTGCTTAGCTCCATTCCGTTTCTTTTTTATTCTGAATAACTCCCCAGTCCTTAACGATTACAAGTACAGTGGCTTGCGAAAGTATTCACCCCCCTTGGCATTTTTCATATTTTGTTGTCTTACAACCTGGAATTAAAATGGATTTTGGGGGGGGTTGTATCATTTGATTTACACAACATGCCTACCACTTTGAAGATGCAAAATATTTTTTATTGTGAAACAAACAAGAAATAAGACAAAAGAACAGAACACTTGAGCGTGCATAACTATTCACCCCCCCCCCCCCCCCCCCCCCCCCCCCCCCCAAAGTCAATACTTTGTAGAGCCACCTTTTGCAGCAATTACAGCTGCAAGTCTCTTTG